GACCACCATCAACCTCAATTAATCATAACAGCGCCACCCCACAACCCACACACCCTCAACACCCTTGCTTCAATTCGATCCCTCCCACCACAACAGCCACCATCAGGGTTGGAATTCTGCATTAATGATTCTAGCACCACTCACCATATACATAGCATGTACAAGAAACAATCGCAATTACAATCTTTACAGCACCCTAGCATTTTACGGAACCAAGTCACCCTAGAATACTAGCATACTAGCATTTTACAGACAATGTGCATACTAGCATTTGCAGGACAAAACCAATTCACCCTAGAATACCAAACATGAAAAATGTCCACATAAATTACAACGCCAATACCACACAAAAATGAAGCACAACTTACCTTGGTAATTGCCTTAAGATCTGGTTGTTTATGAGGTACTCTTTTGTCCACAGCACCCTTCTGAGAACCCAAAAAACATTAAAATCAGAAATGTATATCACAGATAATAATAATAATAATAATAATAATAATAATAATAATAATAAAAACAAAAAAATGAAAATCAAACGTGAAGAAATAACAGCAGGTGAGCAGACAACCCCTAGAATTATGAAATTGAAAAGCAAATCAACGACAAACCCTAGATTGCGAAGGAATTCAATAGATTAAGAAGACCACAATATAAATCTTACCTCGAAGCTGCTTCAATGGAGGTGAGAAAGCTCAGAATCCGCTTCAATGGAGAATAAAGAACACGACTTCAATGGAGGAGAGATATGGAGAGAAAAGGAGCTGCGCGGCAATGGAGCGAGAAAGCTCATAACGGCTTTAATGGAGAAGGTGAAAATTCGGAGGTGGTGGAAGAGAAGGCGAGAACGAGAGAAGAACGGAGATGGAAAAGCAGGAGGGGAAAAAAATTAAAGGAAGAAGAAGATGGAAAAGCAGGGGGTAAACAACGAAATTTAGGCGGTTTTTTTTTTAAAAAAAATTTGCACTGGTTTGAACTGGTGCTAAATCACAATTTCGCACCGGTTTGGTCTGAACTGGTGCGAAATCCCTTTCTCCCCCCCCCCCTTTTTTCTTTTTTAATTCGCACCGGTTCAAACCGGTGCGAAAAAACTGATTTCGCACCAGTTTATTAGGAACCGGTGCAAAAAGTCTTCCTCCCAATCTTGCCCATTTCTTTTCCCACCGGTTTTCAAGAACCGGTGCGAAAAGTGCGGTGCCTATTTTATTTTTTCTACTAGTGCAAATACTCCATTCGTTTTTATTAAGTAACACACTAGCTTGCGCGTAGAGTTTTTGGAAAAATAAATAGTGAAAGACTTAAAAAAATAAAAAAATAATAAAAAATGTTTAAGAAATTGAAAGTGTGTCGCTTTTAAAAGACGGAGAGAATACTTATACTAACTACACTTCATATACTCCGTACTACATAAACCACCAACATTTGTCGATTTTTATTACTACCTTTGTTTAAGAATAATTGACACGGATTGATCGATCTTTTTCACTATTCATCTATGTAGTATTAACTTTAACCGTATATTTATATTATATAAAAATACTCAAATTTTATCAAATGAATAATTAAATTAATTTTAATTTATACGGAGTATTTCATAGTATGAATTTTTTTTACGTGTATTTTCATATATTGATGAATGATTAAATGTATACCTTAGCATGTGTAAATTATTTTAAAACAGAAGAAATAAAACTTTTCAAAGTATTTTAATAATCAAATATTGACTATACAAGTAGCGTAAAAATACAAGACCTGCCATCCACTCCAAATTTTCCTTTGGTAAATATTTCATAACAGTTTCGGTGTTCGAGACACTCTTCACAAAAGTAACATTATCTCATAATCTTGTTCAACATTTGCCTTTTATGCAATCAACAGAATGAAACAGTTGATCATCTTTTTCTCAACTACACTAGAACCAAAGAAGTATAAAGAAAGTGGCTAGATTGCTCAATCTCATTTCTAAAATTAACCGAAACATTAGTGTACTTAAGAAAACACCCAAACACTTTAAGGAAATTTATTTTCCTCATTTAGAGTATTTGAAAAGAATGGAATGGTATAATCTTCCATGATGAAACCTTTGACAAGTTTAGGATTTACCATCGAGCGCAATTAGTGTTCAGTGAGTGATATATACCAAAGAAGTCTCTTAGATACCTTTTCCTCTATGGGATCTCCCATTCTGAGATCCCATAATCATTCTTCTCATACTCAATATAATCCTCATCCATCCATTCTTATATCATGGAAGCCGCCTCCCAACAATGTTTTCAAACTCAACTTTGACGACTCGTTTCATAACAACTCAGCAACACCAGGAATCATCATTAGAGATAGTAGCGGAGCACTCTTCAAAGAGCTACTGCTCTTCACAAAGGAGTCAAACTAGCTCCTCATTGTGGCATTCTAAACATTAAATTAAAGGTGATAACCTATTAGTCATCAACTCATTAAAAGACATTTGCACAGTACCTTGGCAGATCGAGCATATTATTGAAGACACTTGTTCTCTCCTTTCTCAGTTTCGTAATTAGAGTATCTAGCACGTCTATCAAGAGGCAAATCGCGCAGCGGATTAGATAGCTAATGTGGGCCTTTTAGTATCTAATAGTATGAATATTGATGTTTGTAATTCCTCTAGTTTATTTTCTCTTTTATTTTGATACATTAGAAAATCCTTTCCTGAGAGAAAGGCTATTTTTCTTACATAAAAAAAAAGGTTTTTCTAAGTTATGCCCCCATGATTGTTGAGTTTCTAAGGTGTACCCCATGCTTTTTAAAAATTATAAGATGTGCCCTCCAACTTAAGTTGTTTATTCAATTGTACCCTCTGATGTTAATGCAACATTAGTAATTGTGTTAATTATTAATTACCCCACTTTGGAGAGAGATTTCATGTCCAAATTGGGTTAGAGATATATAAGGGGATTAACATTAAGCATTTTTTTCCACATTTTCTCATCCACTTTTTCTTTTTTCTTCTAAAAGCAACCATTGATATGTGAAATTTTGGTGTACTTTTTCTTCTTTTTTTCTCATTTGCTTCTCATTACTTCCTATTTTTATATAATTACTAACTGTAGACACCTAAAAATGTCTCCCAAAAACCAAACCTGATGATGAACAACCTTTCATCGCCATTATTGGCCGGGTTGAGTATTTAATCTTTGGAGTGCTTTAATTCATATTTAATCCAATACATTTCATAAACCAACCCAATTCTTAGCCCATTTCCCCAAACCATAACTTATTTTCCTCTTTTCATGTCCACATCACAAAACCGATCTAAACTAATTTAGTGGCCCTATAATTTTGAGCCAAATATTATTTGGTTGGATAGGCCTTGAAATAAGCTTTCCAATGGTATACCATAAGCCCAATTTCGATTTAAAACGAAGAAGATATGAACAAAACACTAAAACTCAGCCCAAAATTGACACCCTTGCACTAAAACGGCCATATCTTAAAATCTACAATGACCTGATTCTAATTGGGTTTGAAAGTAGACTTGAAGAACTTTCCAAAGATATATTATAAGCCTTATTCCAAGTTACGGATCAAAAGTTATCGAAGTTTTAAAAACTCGCAAAAACTGGAAAATACCGCGCCATGGTAAAATTACCGTGACACGGCCGACATTGACATGACATGCCGACCTTGCCATGCCTCAGCAAAAATTGTCGTGAAACGGCATTTCTAGGGCTTGTTTCTTCGCGGCACCTCATTTCTATGGTTCCGTACCTCACCCTTCACATTTTCTCTATAAATACAAGGTTGATTTCACAGTTTCGGGGCACCAACACACATTCTCATCTCTCTCTCTCTCACACATTCTAAGCCTTAAACCTATTCTCCTAATAACACCATTCCTTCCCTAAGCACTCCAAAGAGTCCATACAACACCCGAACTTCCATACTTAAACCTAGGCGTGAAAGGTAGAACCAATTGACAGTTTGGACCAAATCAACTCTATTTCCCTTTAATCTTATTTCAATTTTATTTATTATTCTTTGAAGTTACTAACGTTTTAATTCATGATGTAGCAATTTAAAGAAACGTGGAATGTGAGTACTTAATTCACTTAATTACTCCTATTATTATTCTTATTGTTAGTATCATGATTAGGTTTATTATTATGCTTTGATTTGACTAATGTATTTATGGTTAAATTGCTTCCAATATTATATTGTTTATTTTATTTATTGATCACCATATTGCATGTTTAATGGGATATGTAATTGAATATAACGCCTAATAAGATAATTTGGACGACCTGTTTAGGATCCTTTTTAATCTTATTGTTTAATCAAGTGATCATAATATTTTAGAATTATATGTTGCATTAATGTTCAACCAATGTAGCTTAATAATAGTTTGGAGCAAATTGAATCTTTGTTTGTATGCTTTTGAGATGACAGTAAATACTTTTCGCAATAAGAATCGAGGAGAGGCCAATACGGGCGAATATGACTCCACTTCGTACCATCATCCTCAATCCTTCTTTCGTGGTTCCGAACCATATGGAGTTAGTAATCTCATAGATTATGAATGGGGTGTAACCTTCACGGATCAATCGTTGTTACCTATCGTTGTCTCTTAATCGTGGTTGCCTTTAATGAATCGTGAACAATTTACAAGTTCCTTAAAAACTTGTTGGCGGCTCCCTACTTTGCTTTGTCTCTAATCACGTCCCTAATCGTATATGTCAAATCCCGCTTCCTAAGAGTGCCAAGCATATTTACACCATACTTAAGTAGGCGCGCTTTAAACGACGCCTACACTAACGTTGAGTTAATGTCAAAGACTACGGTTGATTAAATACCTTAAGTTGGAGGGCACAACTTGTAATTTTGAAAAAGCACGGACACACTTTAGAAACTCAAAGGACATAACTTAGAAAAACCCAATAAAAAAAAAAATATTTTTTCTAATACTCGTAGTAAAATATGGAAAAAATAAATAAATAAAAATTAAGTTATGTGGGTGACTTAATTTTTTCAATAACCCCCATGTTCCTGAAAGTCTGAGACACACATCTTTGTGCTTGCTTTCTTTCTTTCTTCCTTTTTTTTTTGGGTGATTTCAATTTACAGAGAAACAGCTTCAAACTCTTCTCAACAAATTATATAAATACACCCAAATGCCATTCAATTTCAACTAAAATAAGCACAATTAGCATAATCCCATCAAATTTTTTTACTTTTCTCTCTCCTAATCTTTAGATCTCACTGATTTTTGTTTGATCCCTTTAATTTCAACTCTGATCGCTGGTTTCTGCTTACCAGATTCGATTTGACTCTTTGAATTTTGTTGGGTTTGTATTTTTTTCTTTAATCGAATCGAGACACTGGACCCAATCATGAATCCCTTTTCGTCAGGAACCCGTTTGAGGTGAGTTTTTCAAATACCAATGTTTTAATTTCAGTGTAGATCAAGTTTTTAGACCATTTTATTTCATGGGTTGCTATGTTTTACTTTTGCAACATTTTTGTTTGTATTTTTATTGATTTTATGGGTTTTTTGAATTTCTTAATTTGAGGTTTAATTAGTTTTGTAGTTGAAAGTGTAATTGGAAGAAACGAAATGTGATCTTTAATGGTTCATTTCAGTTAAATTTGCCATTTGTTTTTGAGTTTGTTAACTTTTTGATGAGTTTGGAGTTAATTGTATTCAAGAGAGATTTCTAGTTAATTGTATTCCATAGGGCAATTTTGGAAGAGTGAAGGTTTTAGATGTTGGATGTTTTAGGGGGAGCAATGTTGAATTGTCGACAAATCGAGGTCTATGAATGTGATGAATCATGTAATCATTTACTCTAAGGGGATGGTGTTTTGGGTTTGGATATAATGGGAATTTTCGTTATATTGATGCTGCACATGCTTTTCGGACTCTTCTAATAAGCCTAATACTAGACTGACATAGTCACAAACTGATAGTCACTCAAGCAATGTGGCCAATGCAAAACCGCCGACCCATTTCAGGATTTTTCGTTATAGTAGGGTACAATCAGTTGATCAATATTATGCAGTCTTACCACAGTTTCCCTAGTGATTGTTATGTAACTTAGAGAAATCACATTTATTCACAAGGGGCTGATCAACTATGTCAGTGTGGGTCAATGTTGCTGTTATTAAGTGAGGACAGGTGATCCAGAGGATGGACTTAATATTAGTAAATTATGCAATTTTGTAATTACTTATCTGAACTGTGTAATTTTGCTTCCGCGGTGTTCATGGGGCTATGGTATAAACTTGGAAGGAAATTTTTGGAATTCACATGTACAACGTATTGAAATTAAATGGAATAGGAATGTAGCAAAGTAAAGTGAGTGTTTCATGTGGCTATGATAAATTTTTTGGGAAACTGTAAATATTATATATTTATATAAAGGCTATATGAATTAGGGTTGTAGCAAATAAAGTGAGTGTTTTCTTATTGCTTCATTCTTTGGAAAGATGAAGACAAGAAATAACACATTGGCTTAATTTTTAAGGTCAAATTTACATGGATATAGTTTGGTTAATTTTCAATTTTCATACGAATGATATGACAAAATTCAGCCAACAATGTTTGCAGCTTGGAGTGAAAGTTCCTAAACTTCGTCGGCCCTTTTCCCCCGGCAATACTCATTGAAGTCCTAGAATACATTGCTGGCAATATGAAAGCCAAGCCCAATCCTTCCCGCTTTCTTAAAGTGACTATTTGGACCTGAAAGTAGTGCATAGAAATAAGCAAGTTGATTGGGGATAGCAATTCTTGTTTGAGGGATGTATCTAGTGACTAGATCGTCTAAATGGGTAGCAATTAGCATGCAGTTTGAAACATTTAAAAGGATTGTCATAGCAAATCTTCTTAATATATTGAAGTCTTAAAATTTTCATTCCCCTTCATGATATGACTAGGATTATTTTTGTTTGGATTTTGTATTCCTATTAAATGGTTGTAGTTCTCATGCGGTCATGCCCTAGTTTCTCTAGTTTGCTTTGGTTGAATGTTCTTTGTGTACAAAGCTTGGAATGGTGAGAGTTACAGTGTGAATTAGTTGTTTTTCTTTTTTTTTTTTTTGGGGGGGGGGGCGGGTTGCAGATTGGGTCATGAGATGTTAAGGGCTGAGTATTGGAAATTTTTTTTTTTTTTTTTTTTTTTTTGGGGGGGAGCAGATTGGGTCATGAGATGTTAAGGGCTGAGTATTGGACAACAGTTGGAGATGTCTAGAGCAGTACTACCAGATGTTGCCACTCTGCAAGCACTAGAGGTCTAAATCCAGTTTCCTTCTTTTCGTAGTGATTTTTGGGAGCTTTGAGGAGTAGGGGATATTACTTTGCTGGATACTATTTTTATGAAGTTATGCTGTGTTGCTGTTCCTTTTTTCTGATGGACTGGTTGATCGCTGAAATGCTGCCACCCAGTGGCATTTAAAGCATTTGTTGACTGGCATTGTTGGGGGGGGGGGTGAGGGTGGCAATATTGTGGCGGCATGAGTGGGGATGGAGAGGCCTGACACCGGCAGCAGGCATTGTGATTACAATGGCAGTGATTCTAGTGGATGGCGGTGGTTTTGCGAACTCAATACCTTGGGAGTTTAAGAACCCAATATCTCGGGATTTGAAGGGTGCCCCCTTCCCCTGGTTTCAATAATAGAAATATGGTGTTTTTTTTTTTTTTTTTTTTTTTTTTTTTTTTTTTTTTTTTTTGAATGACAATAATAGAAATATGTTGAACCAAACATTATGTATGGTTAATTTGATCCAATTCCATACCGAATCCAAATATTGTGCACTTAAACTCCCCTTTAAATGCTCTATAGTTTGGATTTTAGTATCATTGACTTCATTGTATGATATTATAATGTGTCAGTGTCACCTTTTATTGTGCTGGATGAGTTAGCTTAGGGACGAGCTTAAGGGAATCAATGTCTTTGTGTAATCTTCTAACTAGTAATGAATTAAACTCCCTCCCTTTCATAGTTGTCCAATTCCTCCATATTGACTTTTGCTTACCCATGCAAAACTTTGATTATAAATGATCTTATCATCTACAAGTAATAATTCTTAAAGTTAATACTTTTGAAAATATACATAGAGATAAATTCAAAATAAATTAAATGATAACAATTGTTTTTATATATTAGTAGAAAAATATGGTCTGAAGACATGCGAATAGTGCAATAATTATTATGTTACTAATTTAAAAAAAAATCAGAGGGAATGATTGCATGCAATGTTTCTCCCTCTCTTTCTTCCTTTCCTTTTTCAATTGATGATCAATGTTGATCACTGATTGTGCAGTACTTCTTCATGCCTAGGAGGTTAACCTTGTTATCCCACCACTCTCTTGACTATTGAGTGTTTATTCCTTTTGGTTTATTTCTTTTATTTATTTATTATTTATTTTTTTTGGCTGTCGTAATCTATCTTTAAACAAGCTATCTTAATGCAGGGACATGATTCGTGCTATACGCGCTTGTAAAACGGCAGCAGAAGAACGTGGAGTTGTCAGAAAAGAATGTGCAGCTATCCGCGCTGCCATTAGTGAAAATGATGCAGATTACCGGCATCGAAACATGGCCAAGCTCATGTTTATTCACATGCTTGGTTACCCTACACATTTTGGGCAAATGGAATGCCTGAAGTTAATTGCCGCTCCTGGATTTCCAGAAAAAAGAATAGGATACCTGGGACTTATGTTACTTCTTGATGAAAGACAAGAAGTTCTTATGCTGGTTACAAATTCTTTAAAACAGTATCCTAACACCATGATGGTTTTTGTGTGGCTTTTGTTCCTCAATTAATAGACTATACTAACACGCGTGCCTAGAATTTTTATTATATTTGTTTGCCCCATTTTGCATCATCCTTAACATTTTATAGAGATCTCAACCACACAAACCAGTACATCGTGGGACTTGCTCTTTGTGCTCTTGGGAACATATGTTCTGCTGAAATGGCACGTGACCTTGCTCCAGAAGTAGAGAGATTGCTTCAATTTCGGGATCCAAATGTTCGCAAGAAAGTAAGATCTCATCTGAAATAGATACATGTCTATATTTAGAAGCAGATATATGTTTATGAACATTTCAGTTCATGTTTAGTTCATATCTTATATCTTAACTACATATTATGTCATGTTCTAGTAGTCATGAAACTCATGATAACTTCATATCATAGTTTCATTTGGGTGTGATTTTGGAATAGTACTGCGTCAACATCTGTCTGTTTGGTTTGAGCGGATGCTATATGTATACTCAAGTCCATTGAAAAGAAAGCTTGAAATTATATTTATGAGCTACATGGTTAAAGATGTGATTGTGGTGCTTGCTGCTGCAATTTTCTCCATTTAAGTTGCTTTGAATTGTTTACATTATAGTAATAAGCATGAATATTCCATGCTGAGTAGGAAGTTTACAATGCATGCCTTATTCCTGGTGTTGCCATTGACTTTAAAACCATTACATGCTGAATAGCAACTTCAATGTGATATAGGCAGCACTCTGCTCAATCCGGATTATAAAGAAAGTCCCTGATCTGGCGGAGAATTTCATAAATCCTGCCGCTTCTTTGCTCAAAGAAAAGCACCACGGAGTCCTGATAACTGGAGTCCAACTCTGTACGGATTTATGTAATATCAGCAAAGATGCACTTGAGTATTTCAGAAAGGTATTATTTTGGTCTTCATTCTGTTCTTATTGGAAATAAAGGGGTTCTTGTTTATTCCCAAAGTAAATTATCTAATCTATTGTTAGTTTTGAAATTTCTCAAGGATTTGTGTTTCTTGTTTTGTGCAACATTCAGCGGTCTGTAGTCCGGTCAAAAGTAATTTGAGAAATTTACAAATCCCCCCTCCCCCCCAATACCCTCTTTATGGAGAGAGGTGGAGGAAGCCCCATTCTGGTCTATTGTAATCTAACCAATTTGGTTTTCTTGATCTTCTAGAAATGCACTGATGCTGTGGTGAAAGTTCTAAAGGACCTTGTCAACAGTCCATATGCTCCAGAGTATGATATTGCTGGAATTACAGATCCTTTCCTCCACATCAGATTGCTGAGATTTTTGCGTGTTTTGGGTCATGGTGACGCTGACGCTAGTGACTGCATGAATGACTTACTTGCGCAGGTTTGTTTATTCTTCTCCTTGTCTTCCTTAATATTCCCCTAGTTCACCTAGTTGAATCCTCCCATGCTAGGGTCAAAATAAAGATAATGTTTGCCTCAATAAACAAATTATAACACAAATGAGTTTAGTAGGATTTATGATTGCATTGTCCCATACCATTATCCCAAAGTAACTTTGTTTGGGATAGTGGTCTGGGACCATGCAATACTTTCTTGTTGGGAGGGGGATAAAGAACATAGGTAGCAAAGTCAAGGATTAAGCATTTAAGTAATTATAATGTGAAAAGGCAATAAGAATAGTCTTCAAAAAAAAAAAAAAAAATAAAAAAAAAAATGAGAAGTTGGATGGGAATTTTAGAAGAAGCTAGTCATAGCTTTTCTGCAGGGCTTCTCTGGATTGTCTTGATGTTTAAAAACTGTGAGTTATTCCCAATTTTTGTCACTAGAAATGGTTAGTTTTACCTTTTTCAAATTGGCTCTTATAATGGTCAATTAGGTTGTCTTTGTTCAAAAGAGAATATCCTATTGACCTGTTGGTGGATGAGCATTTTATTTCAAATGCTAGAATGGGCTCAATTGAGCTGTTTGGGGATACATATAATATGGAATTGGATTTGTCTCAATTCCACACTCTTATTAAAACAAGCCCAAAACTAGAATTTGGAAATTCATCTTATATTGTCATTTCCAAATTCCATCTATTACCTCCTGGCTATTTCCAATTTTACCTCATATGTCTACGCTAACTCACTCATTCACTCCACTTTCAACTTTTCCCTCCGTTCTTCAATTTTTGACACCATGGATTTGTTTTTCAAGCAAGCCATCTATATTTTGCAAGGAACACCAGCGACAGAATCTGCACTGACCATTGCTAGATGCAGATTCAACATGTAGCCTCTAGTAGTAAGGGCACTAGACCTGATGCTAGAGGAGAGAGAAAGTGGGCATGAGAAGTGAGAAAATATTGGGGTTATAGGTTTCTTTTTTGGGCTGTGATTTTATTGAAGGGTTTTCTCATTAAGTTCTTGATCTGAACTATCATGGGAATAAACAAGAATTTATGGTTGAAATTCATGGTGGTAGTGGAGGAACGCACACAGCGGCAGTGAATGGGATGCAATGGCTGCTGCCGAGGTGCTCAATTCTAGAAATAAAATTCCTATGACTTCAAACTTGATGTTGAATTTACAATTCTGGAATCCAAATTATTCATATTTCTCAAACACTAGATTTGGAATTGAATGTCAACATCATTTTGAATTTGAATTCATGAACTTCAAATGAGTTGCAGGCTCCCAAACCTTCCCTAAATGTATACACCCCTTAAATTCACTTTTGATTCTTTTTAATGAATTTCTTTCAAGCTGGGTTGATTCTTGTAAGATTATTGCTTCAAAAAGGTGTTTCTTAATTGCATCCAGTTGGAGGCCATGAAGCTAAATTCCATTTGAAGCGTTTTGATCACATTTATGATTTCTCGTCCACATTAAACTGGATTGGGTTTTCTATTTTGTTCATCTATTTATGTTGCTGTGTCCTTTATCATATTGTATACAATATGGTGTTGATCATAATTCCTTTTTTGATTATGTACATTTTATTGTAGGTGGCAACAAAAACAGAGTCTAACAAGAATGCGGGAAATGCAATCCTGTATGAGTGTGTGGAAACTATTATGAACATTGAAGATAATAGTGGTTTGCGTGTACTAGCCATTAATATTCTTGGAAGATTTTTATCGAACAGGGACAATAACATTAGGTATATATCTTTTAATTTTCGTTCTTGTTTTTTCTGTTCACTCTCTCTCAGACTTTAAGCTGTTTTTAGATTGTGTAATATGTTTTCCTCAATTTCTGTTTGGTCATTTTCTACTTTATTTGTTCCAAAAGTTTGTTCTAGCTTACTTTTTGTGCCTCTAAGAAATAACTATTGGAGTATTGGTTGAAGAGGCAATATCTTCTTCATTTGATCCAAAGATACTGTCCCTCTAGAATTAATAGTGTTTTGCTGGGAATCCTCCTTCTCACCTTTGTAACATGGCTAGTAAATAGTATAATGGTTTATGGATTTTACATTGGCTTTCTATATTCTAAGTTCTAATGCTAAGCTGTAATCATGTGAGGTAAAATGCGTGGGTGAATCCCAGCAGAAGATAAAACAATCTTGAAAATTTGTAATTGATCTATGCAGCTTTTATTGTCGACCTTTTTTCCGTTAATTTTTTCGTTACTAATCAGTTGCTTAGGGAGTGCATTTATGCAGCTCTCATGTCCATTTGCTGTGCATTGGTCCATTATGCTTTCTGTATGAATTTCATTCAGTTTTTGAGGGGATGAAAATGATTTGAGTCACATAAAAGAAAATAATTTATGCTCTTTCACTTGCTTTGTTATCTTGGTTATTGTAAGGTCATTTTAAGGAGCTATTATTATTATTATTATTATTATTATTATTATTATTTTTGTCAGATATGTTGCCTTAAATATGTTGACGAGGGCTATAAATTTTGACGCTCAAGCAGTACAGAGACATCGAGCGACGATCTTAGAATGTGTGAAGGTATTTTCTATTTTGCTACTTGTTTGGCTTCTGTTGTCGATTGTTCATGTGCATTATGTAATTGTGTGTCATCTGTATAACTAGTATGGACCCCTCAATTTTTATTTATTCATCCTCTATAAAAATCCAGTCATTCGTGGCTCAGCGTTTTGGTTATATTAATACACATTGCTCTTTTATCAACCAGTTTTGTACTTCTACTCGTTCAACATCTAGAATGTGGCATTTTCATTGCTCTTTTATATTATAAGTAGGTACTTCACAAGTGGTTTAAGACTTTCAGAGAAGGCTATTTAAAATAGTTGGAGAAAGAAAATTTGATATATACTAAAGGACATTAGGACAAAGGGAATAGCTGAAAGGTGAGATTCTGATTCTGTCAACAATTTTTGGTGAGGGTGATGATTGCTGAAGGCCAGTGGCCAACCAATTGTTTAGTGATTGTTTTAAAAGTTACATTTCTGATCTCAAGGTCAAAATTTAATTAATATGTATTATATGGTCAATATGGAGCGATGCTAAATGCCTAATGGTTGCTGACCCATAACAATTTCTCTGTGTGTTGAATAAGATAACTGCACAGAGGATATTTTGTTATTTTCATGTCTTCTACTCTAGATAAGTTTCTTACTGCCACATATTTGCAATTGGATGATTGGTATGTGTCAATCATATATCTTTAAATAGAGAATGACTTCTGAGTTCTAAATATTATTTCTTTCCAGGATTCAGATGCTTCGATCAGGAAAAGGGCTCTTGAACTTGTGTATCTTCTAGTGAATGAGAGTAATGTAAAGCCTTTGACAAAAGAGCTAATTGACTATTTGGAAGTTAGTGACCTCGAATTTAAGGAGGATCTTACAGACAGAGTCTGCTCCATTGTTGACAAGTAAGTATACTTATATTGGGTGTGTAATTCATGCAGTTGTCCATCTGTAATGAGTAATGCAATTGAAGCTTGTTGTACTATACGCTTTGTTATTTATGCATTATCTTTGCTTAATTTTTGTTATGTAAGTGTTACTATTTGGGTCCTTGGAAATGATTAAAATGCCGATTAGGTCTATACAACTATATATGCACCTAAAGGCTCATAATTCAATTAAACAAATTTAATGTAATTTAGTGAATGCAAATTAATCATATTTGACATCCTAACACTCTCAAGAACATGATTTTATGGGAGTTGGCCTGGCAACTTGGCAAGTGATTCAGGGAAGCATGCCTTTTTTTTCTTTTTTATATATTTTTTTTTTTTGGACATACGTAAGCTTTGGTACCTCCATTTATGAATAAAGGTTACTGTTTATTGAAATGTGTTATTACAAGTTTGCTCTTCTCCACCTTGGTTCTTGGTTTTGGATTATAGTTACGTTTTTGTTTAACCAGCAAAAATAAATGAGAATTAATTCTTTCTTTGAGGAGGGGTCAACTGTGGGCTTGGTGGCTGGGGGTAGCAAAGATATTAGAATTGCTGTACGACAGACTGCCAAAGGCAGTGGCTGCGAAAGCAATACATGATTGGCATATATAGAGAATTACAAAGCTTGAGGGGCATTACTGACCTAAGGTGCCTATCATGAATATGGTCTTATAACTTAATTTTCCAAAGACCTTAATGGGAATTATTACTTATGGACTTATCTAGATTTTAAAGTCTGTGAAATATCACTATTGGTAGTAGCAAGGGAGGAAAAGGAAATAAACCACTAACACCCCACCCAACCCCCCCCCCCCCCCCCCCCCCTTGTGGATTCCCCTACTGGTGGGACTTGGGGATAACAAGTTGTATGTATCCATAACCATTATTAGACATCACAGAAAAACTGGTTGAAGTTATTGGCCCCTGTTTATGTGGTTTTAGGTTCTGGTGAAACTAACCAGCTAAGCTATCTCAGGTTTATACTTTTAAGCTTTGCCTGCTGGCTAAAGTCGATTTCGGTGCTGCGTAGAAAGGCTAGGTTCATTCTTTCACATTGGGAGGCTGACTACATCACTTTCTGTCACCATATTACTATGAAGACCTTGTTTAAATGCTCTTAAATAATCATACAAGACATTTGTTCTTGGGGTGGGGGGGGGGGATATATTTTTCCACTTTCAGCTAGGATTTTTATGAGTTGGATTTAAATGATCAATATATATATATATATTTATTTTTTTTTTAATTTTGTTGGTATGTATTTGGTTGAAAACTTCTTTTGCTGGTCAAATATTACAATTGACAAACTTTTTTTATTGCAAAATAGAGATTTATCAGAGGTTGAAATCAGAATTTTAAGTTTGTTGAACTTGAGTATTATTTTTACACTTTTTTTCCACTTTCAGCTAGGATTTTTATGAGTTGGATTTAAATGATCAATATATATATATATATATATTTTTTTTTTTTATTTTTTTGTTTTTTTAAATTTTGTTGGTATGTATTTGGTTGAAAACTTCTTTTGCTGGTCAAATATTACAATTGACAAACTTTTTTATTGCAAAATAGAGATTTATCTGAGGTTGAAATCAGAATTTTAAGTTTCTTGAACTTGAGTATTATTTTTACACATTTTTTGCCCCCCCCCCTCCTTAATAATCATACAAGACATTTGTTCTTGGGGGGGGGGATATATTTTACCACTTTCAGCTAGGATTTTTATGAGTTGGATTTAAATGATCAATATATATATATATATATTTTTTTTTTTTTTTATATTTTTTAATTTTGTTGGTATGTATTTGGTTGAAATCTTCTTTGCTGGTCAAATATTACAATTGACAAACTTTTTTATTGCAAAATAGAGATTTATCTGAGGTTGAAATCAGAATTTTAAGTTTCTTGAACTTGAGTATTATTTTTACACTTCCCCCCCCCCCTTGTTGCTAATTGATTAAATTTTGTGAAATGTGACTTAAATTTCCTAATTTGTAGTAGTTTTAACTTTATCATATGTCATATCCAATAGTTGTAAGATTCTTTTTTTTTTTTTTTTTTTTTTTTTTTTTTCCCTATGAAATGCTTTATTTATTGCAAAGAAATTGCAACAATTGGGTTTCATAGATCTTCAAGAAAAGAAAGTTTTCATCCTCCACCAACTAGTAATCAGCTAATCACCCATATACCTCTGATTACCTGCCTTTTAATTCCCACCTCCCTAGCCACCTTAGCCAGTCAGCATCGATGACCCAACATCACCAAACAATGCAACTTAAGGCCTGCTAGGCTCTGAGGTCTGTCAGTTCAAAGGCTGCTCCTTTATGCCAGCCTCCAAGCCCTCCCATATTCCTCAGATTTCTGCTGCCTTCCTTTCTTCTCATTTCTACCCATATTGCATTGCATTTGATGCCCCACCCTCCCCCATCACCGGCGATTAGCCCTCATGCTTTCCATTTTCTTTTCAACGCGGTCTTTCTCTTTTCTTTGAGATTTGAACCATTGGACCCTATGGTGATCAAATGTGATCTGTAGTTTTAAATCTGACCTTTCTGGGCAAGTTTAACTACAATAGGGTCTATTTGTGTCTAGGGTATGCGGTCAAAAGTAGTTTGGGTTTCTTTTGTGGTGGTTATGGTATTTGAGTGTGGCTAGGCCACTAGGGTGGGTTGGTTAGCAGTGTTCATGGTGGTTGATGGTACTGGTGGCTTTGAATTGAGGCAGGTTGGTGACTAGCTAGGATTGAAGGAAAGGAGGTAAGGGGTAGGGGTGAATGGTGTGGGAAGTTGCTCTTTGGCTTTGAAGGTGGTGTAGGCTGATTGCTCTTGAAGATGGTGGCAGCTGGTGCTCTTGAAGGTGGTGTAGGTGAGGCAGTAAGCCGGCACTTGAGAGAGGTGTTGGGGTTGTGTTACTTACCTGGGTTGTTTTTATTTGTTTCTATTTTTATTTTTTATTTTTTATTATTTAAATTTTAATCCCTTGTTAGTTATTCGGGTAAGGGCATGGTTAGTCATGTCTAAAACTTGCCCTATATAGAAGTGTTGCTATGTTATCGAACGGGGGAAGTATCTATTTAAATTAATAAATTGATACTCTTTTTTAAGAGCTTGCCTTTCTCTATATGATATGTCAGCTGCTTTCTATATGATATGTCAGCAGCTCTGCTGCTGCTGCAAGTTTGACAACTGAAGAACCCCTCCTTCATTATTTTGAGCTCTTCTGTATCTTTCAACTATTTGGAGCTGGGAATTTTTAAGGAAGTAATGAACTAATAAAGATCTAACAGTGTGTTTAGTCAGCTTTTGGAGGGAAAGGGAGGGGAGGCAATGAGAGGTTAGAGTAAGATAGGTGAGGGGAGGGAAAGAGCAAACTTCCAATTTCCACGTCTTTATAATGGTGGAGGGGATTTGGTTTGTTAAAAGAGGAAGGGAAATAGATTCATACAATTCCTTTCCTTTCTCTTCCCCTATTTCATATCCAGACAAGGGAGATTCCTTCACATTTACTCCCGATCTCCTATCCAAACATATCATACTGAAACCATTTTTCTTGTCGTGGTTAGATGATATTTATCAATGTAATTTGTCTGAGTATGAATCTTGGTCATGTGTTTGTTGGATTGCTGCTAGAGTTTCTCACCAGTCAGGTCATTGTTTGCCGTGGGTGTTAGGTAGAAGGGCCTGGGTTGTTAATTTCTTGTTGTGTGCTTCTGCTTTGTTTTATTTTAACAGTATTTAGTAATGCAAATTGCGCTGCTCTAACAAAAAAAAAAAAAAAAAAAAAAAGAAGGGAAAACCATGATTCTGGGTTTGTGACAGCATAAATATTACTATCAGTGTTGTGTGTAGTTATTTAACCAAGTATTAAATTAATTAATAGTACTTAGACATTTTTTGAAAAAATTGAAACCCAACATAGAATGGAAAATACATATAAAGCTACAAATATTTAATTATAGAAGTAATATCACTAAGGCTGGCTTTTTTCCATCCCATATTCCCATGTGAGTGGCTTCTTAATCTTACCTGTTTCCCATCGACCTAGGTGATTAAAGTGTACTAACTTTGACCCTAAGTTGCCAAAACTTGTATGGAGTTATGATACAAAACTTATTGTATCTCTAACTTTTTCTTAAGAATCTTTTATTGCAAAATTATCTTTTTATAGTATTTGTGATAATGTAATGATAGAGATCAGTGATAATATGTAAAGATCAAATTTGGCCTGTTATATTAGGAAGAAGAGAGAGGGGGGTGGGGGGGGGGAGGTAGTAAATAGTTGGTAGCTGTGAAATCATAAATTAATTATTAGGTACATGTAACATGATAGTTTTCCATGGTTATCATATGCACTGTGTTTAATAGAAAAGTCAATTTAGTAGAAAGTGTATGTATCTTGTTAGTTGTCACTCTTGTCTTTTGGTTGTGATTTGGTTGAGTGTTAATTTGGCTGATAATTGTTTATTTGGTGAATGTTCTTGTTGTTTTAGGTTTTCACCAGATAAGATTTGGTACATTGATCAAATGCTGAAGGTTCTTTGTGAGGTATGCACTTGCTTGGTCACAGTAATGGGGGTTTTAGCTTGGTTGGGAAACCTGTTTCATATCTATAGTTGTTTTGATGATGGGTTTTTCATTCCCTTGTTTGAATGAGATGCTCTCAATATTTTTTTTGTTAACTAGACCCAACCCTCAAATAGAGAGGAAATATACTGAAGGGAGGTAAAACCTGAAACTAAACATTTCAGAGGAAGCCAGTTCTCTTTTCCTTTACCATGGGGGTGGGTTATGCTCGTCTGTACTCTTCATTTTTCCAGAGCATTGATCGTTGTGGTTTCCTTAGCAGGCTGGCAATTATGTGAAGGATGAAGTGTGGCATGCTCTTATTGTTGTTATAAGTAACGCTGTCAGTCTCCATGGGTATACGGTTAGGTCCCTTTACAGAGCTCTTCAAGCATCAACTGAGCAGGTATTGTCTTTGTTCTCATAAATTAAGTGTTCATATTGTCATCCTGTTTTCTTTTTGACAAATAATAACATTCAGCTGCTGCTTTTTATTTCAGGAAACTCTAGTCAAAGTGGCAGTTTGGTGCATTGGAGAATATGGTGATATGTTGGTCAACAATGTTGGGATGCTAGACACAGAGGACCCAATAACTGTGAGTTCATTCTGTTCTAAAGTCTCTTACTCTCTTGGTTTGAAACATAGCTCTGTTTTGTTTGTTCTCTAGATATGGATTCCTTTTTTGTGTTGCAGTTGCAGGAATATATTCCCACACTAGGATCACATTGCAACTCTTTTATGTGGTTTTGAGTTATAAGATAATATATGAAGCAAGTTCTACCTGTTTCTTATGCTGTCTAGATCATTGTCTAAAGTTTCAGTATGTCTGATTGATGAAAACAGTATCCTTGATAAATATACTATGCTCTTTTTACTTCATATTATTTTTTTTTTTTGGTGGGGGGTATTTGTTTGGTAGCCACTGGTTCATTCTGATGATCATGATTTGGATGAAAGAATAATTATCGTTGATGTGGGTAAAAAATTTCAGCTACAGCCAAATGAGGCATTTCTAAGATGAATAGGGGTGATCAAACACAGTATAACTTGCTACCCTATCTTCTGCAAATCCATCTACAATTCTTCAAATGATCGAGAATTTCTGTGTGTGTGTGTGTGTGTGTGTGCGAAAACATTCTTAGTATTTGTCCCCATGACAAGGATAAAGACCAAAAGACTAAAACATCCACAATTTATGCCGAAACCTAAATCTGTAACTGTAAGCCCCCCATGTACCCCCCTGTAAATGTTAAATATTTAGTGCCCTACTGACTTTAGCACAACAAATGGCTGGGCACTGAAATCTTTTATGAGATTTCCTGGAAGTAGTATCTAGCAGTTTCTTAGATGATGTCACAATTTACTATATGAATCTGCTAATTAGCATAATTCTTTCTAATTATAGTAGGAGCATATTCTTGCTACTTGTTAGTCTCAAACTTGGGCCTCCTAGTCTGTCTAGTACGTATATAATTCGTCGGGTTTTTTTTTTAGATGAAACACTTCTTGTTTCACAGTTGCCAATGCATATGTTCAACCAGTTAAACCACCAATAAGTAAAAATCTTAGTATTTGATGTTTGGAAAATATAAATTAAGACGAACCTAACAAGACCCCACATGACTTTTTCCTTATGAAAGTCACTGTAAGAATAGTCTGTATAATATGTGCGTAGTGTAAATTTTAAAGTGTTTCGTTTAAAAAAATGGAGGAAGTATTTGTTTGTCTCCATCATTAGATCTCTCTCTCTCCCCCTTTTTTTCTAGGTGGGGATTGTGCTATCTACTTTTGTTACCATCAGTTGGTCCCATGTGGTGGCGACAGCTTTGGATTCTCTGCTTGCATTGTAAGGCTGTGCCTTGCTTAACCTGCTGAAAATGATCATTTTATCTTAATAATCATTTGGATTGCCATTTTCATTCTTGATCTTGCCGGTAATCCACTATGTGTGTGTGTGTGTCAAAGCTGGTTTAATATTTTTGAGGTTTTCTGAACAGGTAACCGAATCTGATGCAGTGGATGCAATTGAGAATGCTATCAAGAGTCACAACTCGGATGTTACCACTACATTAAGCCTATGGGAGACGAAGTCCGGATCAATCCCGGGCATTTCTGCGGCTGAGAAGGCGAACACGTCTCCACTGGCCCGTAGGAGTTGGACGAGTGCCGCACGGGTGTTTGGCTCCAGTGACGACCCGATGCTAACACATCTGTTCGGATCTCCTACGGTCAGTTCTATTGACTCGGTCAGGTCATCCGTTTCCATGCTCTTAGAGTTGGATTCCTCGAATTCCGGCCTGCTATCAATATTAGCAGACTTTCCTGACCGCGGCTGGCCATCAGAGTCGTTCGGCTCTGAGGCGGAGTCAGCCTTTTGGCCCCCATCAGATTTCTCGTTGCCTGGGGCTTCATTAGCCGAAACGTCTGAGCCTCTCGGCTTTTTGGCGTTTCGGTCCCGGTGCTTTTCCTCCCCATCGCCACGGTCGCCTCGGCGAGACGTGGATGGCTTGAGGTGATTGCATCGGCGGGCTTCTTTTTGACTGCCCTTTATTTTCTCGGAGCGTCCCTCGTCTGAAACGTATATCATGATTTGATGATACGTGGAGACGACTCCTTGAATGCCGTGAATGAGGGGTCTCCCCATGATCACGTTGTATGCAGATGGAGCATCTACGACCAAAAATTCGGCCATGATATTCCTAGCTGCTCGGCCTTCGCCGATGGTGACAGGAAGTGTAATCTTCCCGTCAGGATACGAGGAAGAGCCGTTGAATCCAGACACCGGGTAGGGTGCGGGGGCCAGGTGCTCGGCTCCCATCCTCAGCTGGTCGAACGCTCCTCGGAAGAGGATGTTCGCCCCGCTACCGCCGTCGACGAGGGTCCGCCAGACGTTGCGGTTGGCGATGCCCAGAATGATTACTAGTGGGTCATCGTGGGGGTATACCACCCCCTCACAGTCTTCGGCTGTGAACAGGATGTTCGGCGCCGGTGACTGGGACTGCCGAAGCTCAGCCTGATGAATCTGATGGGTTAGACCCCTCAGTTGGCGTTTGGCTGTGCCTCGCGAGATTCCCCCGGAAATAACCAGGATGTCGAGGGACTCCTTGCCCTGAGGTCCCTTATCCTTCTTCCGAGCGAAGTTGAGGTCCTGCCGAGAATCTTTTTCAGCTTTTTTTCTCCTCGCGCCTGTCCGCGAGGTATTGGCTCAGGTACCCCTTGCGGACCAGATCCTCAATCTGGTCCTTCAGCTGGACGCAGTCCTCGGTGCGATGTCCGGGTGAGTCATGAAACTCGCACCACTGGTCCTTTCCCCTCGTCTGATGCCAGGGAGGCAACGGACGAGGTTTTTTGAATCTCCCCTCGTCCTTCGTCGTGCTGAAAATCTTAGCACGGGGAAGGGAGAGTGGAGTGTATGAATCGTACCTTCCCGTGTAGGGAAAGTGTCTTTCCTTCTTCGGCTCGGCAGCAGAGGACGGTTCTGAGGCCTTAGCCTTCCCTTTCCTCTGCGCCGAGACTTCGGGCTGCTGCCCTTTCGGCTTCTCAATTCTCGGACGAGACTGAGACCTGGATCTGTTCCACTCCTCGGCTCGGATGAACCTATCCGATGCTTCCAAGGCTTCCTCCAGGGTCTGCGGGGGATGCATGACCATGAAGTCCAGGAACTTTCCAGCTTGGAGGCCGTTCCGTAGCGCGAACACGGCCAGGCCTTGATCCAGGCTTGTGATTCCGGATGACTCGTTGCTGAAGCGAGTCAGATAGTCGCGGAGGCTCTCGTCCTCCGCCTGCTGCAGACTCATTAGCTCTGCAGTGGTCTTCTCTCGGCGGTTGGCCGTAGAGAATTTGCTCTTGAACTTGTTGGAGAGGTCGTTCCAACCGGTTATGGAGCCTTCCTTGAGCCCTTTGGTGATCCAGGATTGGGCAACACCTTTGAGGGTCGTAGGAAAGTATTTACACCAGGTAGCCTCAGACCTCGGGTTCAGATACATGTGCCCCTCGTAAGAGGCAATGTGATCCTTAGGATCTGAGGTACCATCGTAAGTAATATGTGCCGGGATTTTGACCGTTGGCACATGCTCTTCCAGAATCCACTTCTGGAAGGGCGAGTTCGATGGAACCATGACCGCCTTCCCCTTGTACCCGGCCTCAGGGACCTCGCTCCCTCCTCTCTCAGAGGTGGAAGTGGTTTTCGTCCCCGGCTGAGACAAGGTTGGGTGGGGTCCGGTATCCTCTGGGAAGGTGAGGCGGCTATGCACACTCACCTCCCTCGAACCCAAGCGTTCGTGAACGCTTTGGCGGGCGAATTCCGGGTCCTTGGAGGGCCCCATGGAATTCTGAGCTTCAGAGTGGTCAGAGGGTTGAGGGTTCCTCCTCCTCTCCTTACTGGAGTTTCGGGTGTCCCCTCGCCACCTCTGGCCGAGCTCTCTATGTGGTGGAACTTGTCCACCATCATCCTGACCGATCCTCCTTTTCAGGTTTCTCGGCTGGCGATCATCAGGCATCTGGATTGGAGCCCCTTGAGCTTTAAGGAACTCCATGCAGATGGCCACTGCTCTGGCCACTTCCTCGGTGGAGGGTCCGGAGGGAGGAGTCTCCCGCGGATGTGACCTGGATTGCACGCTATGGCGCGGCGGGGAGTTCCTCGCACCTGAGCCACTCGGTCTCGGGGATGGCCCCGGCTGCCGAGTGTGGTGCGAGGTGTTCTCCTCCTGGAGGCTAGGACCTCTTGAGGCTTCCCTTTCCGGAGAAATGGGGGCCTCCGATTCGGAAGAGGCTTGCTCCGGGGAGGGATAAACCGGCTGGCGTTCCCTCACCGTAATCCGGCCTCCTCCCTTCTTAGCCTTCTTGGAACTCTTTCCACTCTTAGTCATGGCGACTGCCGGAGTGTTTGATGACTGACGCGAAATTTAGTAGCGTTCCCCACAGACGGCGCCAAATTGTTTCGGATGAAAACAATCGAATCTCGGAAGATCCTTTTATCTTGAGGGAACTTGGTCTCGGTCCGAACGACGCAGGAGCCGAGGGTTTCCTGCACAACAAATACACGTAAACTAGCCTCGGGGGGACGCCGAGGAAGGCCCCTCCGATGCTTAAGTCAGTATATTAGAGAGAGAAAGCTGTGCAAGAGTTTAGTTGCTTGAGGCTTTATTGTCTTACCAAGAATTGACCAAATTGTTGGCTTTTATACCTTGGCTAATGAAGGAGGCGGATTGGGCCCGGAAGTCAGTTGGGCTGGGCCAAGCTGATTGGGCCGTTGACTGACCTTGACATGGCTTTGAGGATGTTGATTTTTGACTTTAGCACATTTGGAGAGTTGAACCTTAACCTTGGGCTTTTAATTGGATCATTCAGTGACCAGGCCCAATTGGACTAAATTGGACCCAAACAGTACCTACAGATGATATGGTTCATACATCCATATTTGGGAATGTTGCTCAAGTTAACTTTGAGGTTGGGTATGATTTACAAGCAAAAAGGGTATCATTTGTTCCAACAGACTGCACCAAGTATTAAATTCCATCAAAGCTGTTACAATATATTCATGTACCACACTATCATTAAGAAAAATAGGGAATGTTTTGGGGAAAAAGCGTGATGATCTTTCATTATTTATGACATTTCTTGATAACTAACCATGTGAGATGAAGTCCATTCAATATGAATACGTACTAGTCCACAAAAAGGTTTCAATGTTCATATTATTTATCTACTTCGATACTAAAATAAATATTAAAGGATGATCATGGAAATTTTATGTTAAATATATTTCTATTAATCTATTACTGTACTGCCTTTGTGATGTATGGTTTACATATTCACAAATAATGGTATTTCTCATAAAGATATTCAGTATTTTTTTTTTAATGGTTTAGAAGAATATTCATTCGCTGATTTCATATAAAAATAAGAAAAGAAAGGAAAAAAAGAAAGAAGAATATTCATTGATAGTCCCATTTCTAGCTAAAAAGCAAGGAGTCACTATTGATATGTGTGTGAAAAGAAGAATTTCTCTATGATTGTAGGGTTGCAAAAAGAAACAGAAAGGTACTTTGATTGTAACAATGAGTGGATTGAAATGAAGGGGTGAAGTAAAGGTGCCAAGAAATAATGTGAAATGTAACAAAAGGAAGGCTTGTCTTGATAGGAAGTGGGTCTTATATAAAACAACAATGTAGCTATACTAGCTAATGAGAATGTACTATGCTTTATAAATCTTCGTTAAAGAGTCTGATCACACATAAATTCAACCAAAAATCAATTAGTACGACAATCTGATCCATTAGTTTTATATGCTTACTATTCTCCCCTCTTATAATTCAAAATGAAATATATTATCCTAATTCTCACTTGTATATGTAAGTCTGTTAAGTATTGACTAATCTAATCAATGTATGATAATATTTAATTCTATATATATCCAAATAATTTACAGAAAATTATGAAAACCATATTTATCATCAGAACATTCCTTGTAGGAAGAAAAAACTTATTAATAAGCCCAAGATATTTTGACAAAGTTTGGTTTTATGCTACTCGAAAGTTATAGTTTTTATTAAGGAGAACTCAAAAGTTATAGATAATTCGTAACGTCAATTTCGTCTTTTCACACCATCCTTTTAGAATCATGATCAAAGTAAGCGCGTATAGCATATTTGGATTCATACTAACTAGCAGTGGTATATACCGTGACTTATTGGGAGCAATCCAAGAAGTCTTGGTCGACGTTTGTAGACAAATTACTTCGACCTTAAGATTTTCTTACTTAATTGTTAACTGTACTGTCCACTAACTGTACCGAGTAAAATCTAAAAGAACACGAAGTATTCCCTTCGTTTCATGATATCTTACCCATTTTGAGTTTCGCATTATCAATTTATGTGCTTGCTTTGAGCGTGTACCTTTTTTTTTTTTTTTTTTTTTTTTTTTCTAATAAACAAATTAAACAACAAAGGTTATCATGACAATGTAGTTAAATTACTCTAAATGTATATTTTCGAAGTTATTTATTTTTTGTTAATAAATTATTATAAAGTTTCTCCCTGTTTTTTATTTTGTATTAAAAAAAAAATTTATAATTACTTCTTACATATTTGTACATTAAAAATCAAGACGAATGTGACAAGATCCCACATGACAATTACGATTTAAGGTCCCGTTAAAAAAAAAAAACTATAATTTATGATATACATTATATTTATCGTCGAAGAACAAATTTTGTGACGGAACCTCCCACGATGGAAATAACATAGAGAGTATTAAAGATTAAAGTTGCAATTTTGGCAAATTAACCTTATTAGTTAACATGAATAAAGTAGTATGAAAACAAGGTAGAATGACACAAGAAAACAAAAGACCTTGACTAGACTAGACATAGTAAACGACGCAAATCTCGCAAATTGCATTGCGTAGTATGTTGTATGCATCTATTTGCCTTGACAAGGATATGATCATAGACTTTGATTATATAAACCCATGTTAACCATGTAACTACTTAACCATAACATATCTATTATTAGCCATTGGCACAATCTTTTCTTAGCAACCAACATGCATGCTTATAACTTGCCTAATATTCTCCTAATTCTTTTGCTAGCATCATCCGCAATCTTAAAACCCCCTAATTCAATCTCAGTTGAGGCTCGAAAATTAGCCACTTCTAATGGTGTCTTCAAGGTTGAACTCATCCATCGCGATTCACCACTTTCGCCTTACTACAACTCTTCCATGACACCACAAGAGCGCCTAAAGAGAGCACCCCTAGGCTATATATCACATGGCCACAACATTCAACTATCCTCAACAATTTATAACCTAAATGATGAGAAATCATACGCCTTAGTTCCTAATGGTGGAGGATACCTCATGAAAATCGCCCTTGGTACCCCAAAAGTCGAATTCTTAGCCGTTGCAGACACGGGTAGTGACCTTATTTGGGTCCAATGTCAACCTTGTAACAACTGTTTCCGACAACAATCTCCACTCTTCAACCCATCCAAATCTTCGACCTATCATGAAATCCCTTGCAATTCTCCGGATTGCACCCATCCAGACCTTAAAAGTGGTTGTGCTTCGAATAATTATAACAACAATAACAATAACAGTAACGAATCACTATCATCATCATCATCATCGTGTTTATATCAGTGTATTTACGGTGATAATACTCAAACTACCGGCGTCCTAGCCACTGAAACACTTAGCTTACCCTCTCCTGATGCTACCTCACCGAGTCTTTCGTCCACATCCCTTTTCGGGTGTGGGATGGACCAACAAGGCTCTGTTGGCACCCAAGGAGAGGGGATCGTTGGACTAGGGACAGGCCCGTCTTCCTTGATCTCGCAACTTGGTTCAAAAATCAACTACAAGTTCTCTTACTGCTTAGCTCCTTTAACTTCCGACGTCTCAAGCAAGCTTACCTTTGGAGCCGATGTAACCGGGTCTGAAGTAGTGTCAACTCCCTTCAAAATAGGAGAACGCCCCACATATTACCTCCTTAACCTCGACAGCATTAGCGTCGAGGGTAGGGATAACCCGGTCCAAATTCCAGTACGTATGGACGTGATCATCGACTCTGGCACCACTCTGACAATGCTCCCATCTAACATCTACATCGACTTAAGGGCTGCTTTGGTGAATGCCATTGGACTTAGCACCATACCGAGCCCAATCGAAGATTACGACCTCTGTTACAATACAGAGTCCTTAGGGCAGTTTAGCCCTCCAAACGTTGCATTCCAATTTCAAGGGGCCGAAGTCGTGTTAAAGACAATCAATACATTTCGGCAAATTGAGGACAATGTAAGTTGCTTGGCAATGTTAGCTACGGATGGTACTCCAATATTCGGGAACATTGCTCAAGTTAATTTCGAGGTCGGGTATGATTTACAAGCTAAGCAAGTTTCTTTTGCTCCAGCAGAATGTACTAATTAACTAGCTTAATTAATCGTTATTTCTATTTTTACTTGTACTTCCTAATGGTTAGGTTTGTTTGTATGGGCACAAGTATGTTTATATTGATATTTCTTCATGTAATGAACGTTTTGAATTTCTGTATCAATAAGCTATAAGCTTCATGTATGTCTGAAAGTACATTTGCCTTATATTTTCTGTATCAATGTGAGTACGTTTTAGGAAAGTTATTATACCATTTGGAAATAATAAAAAAACTTAGATTGAAATCATGCAAGTACGTGGTGTCATGGTGATAAGTATGTAGAGGTGTAAACAAGCCGAGACTTAATAAAAAAAAAAATTCAAATAATGATTAATTAATTTAATAATTCATTATTGTGGGTTTTACTTCAATTTCGATCTCATAAGTTCAATTATGTTTTGAGCATATGAAAAATGCGCCTAGTTTTTACAGTTTTTGAAGCTTTTAAATGAGATTAAACATGAGCATAAATGTATTCATTCATATAATTAAATAATTAAATTCATGAATAACTTGTTTATAAATTATAAACTTTCTAGATCAAATAAAGTCGTTTATAAGATAAAGCTCAAAGTGTGTTTAATAAAAGTTTGACCTATTTTGAGGTCTTTATGTGTCAAGGAATAAAAACAAAATTTTTTAATTTTTTTTTATTATTTATAAGCTCGTCTCTGTTAAAAAAAATGAGCAGTTTACAAACACTTATAAAACCTCCTAAGCTCATGATCAAACTCGCTTTAAGTTATACCTCCGATTCTTATTACTCGCAACAAACTAGTGTTTTGCGGACTCTTAGACAAAAGATCTTAAGCATGATTATTAAAAAATAAGAACATATACTTAAGTAGTAATTCAACTCCCCAAAAAAAAAAAAAAAAACAAATTCAACCAAAATTTAATTAAATAACTCAACACCATCGGCATCACCTAGCTGCACAGAAACCACCCACCACCGAACCAAGCAAACCCAGCATCGACGACCCCAGTACCCAGCTAACCTAGCACCGACGAACCCAACAACCACCGAACCCAACACCAAGCAAATAGTATTATTCTTATTTACTAATACTAATATTTTGTGCCTATGATAAATTTTGTGATCTTCCTAGGTGTATTTTTATTATCGCATAGGCACTATATTAATTATTCACGATGATTTGATAAAGTTTGGTATTATGCTACTCATAAGTTACAGATGGTTCGTAAACTCGTAACAAGTTCTAATTCATATTGTCCTTCGATTATTGATCATATGGGAGCAAGTCTCTCTCTCTTTATTTGTCTTTTGATAACGACTTGGGAGCAAGTCTTGGTCGTCGTTAGTAGACAAGTTGCTTCCCTTTGTTTCTTAAGGGTATGGTAGAATATCCACTAATTTTCCAAGCTAATAGACCATACATGCTCATTTTCTTTGTTTTATAATATCTTACCCATTTTGACATTTCACTCTTGTTAGGGTTGGTGAGTGCACAGCGGGAGCGAAGATGTATTTGATTGAGAAGTATAAATTGAATTGATAATTTGGCAAGATAATTAATATAAATGAACACACGATTTTATGTTACAACGAGCACTTTTATTCCACTATTTGAAAGTAGGAGAGTATAAGAGCCCTTGAGGGTGATTATTACAAGAGAACTCTCACTATAAGAAACTCACAAGGAGTATTATGATAGTAGTGGAATATTACAAGGAGGGAGGATATTTTTGTAGAAAGACTTGTGTTTGGTATGACTTCTTGTGTTGTGTTGTTGTTGAATGCCCTTGACCTATATTTATAGGTGTAGATGGAGCTTGGAAGATTTGTGTGGAAACTTCCACATATGTAGATATTTTTAAACTCTCCACATAAATCTAAAATTTTCATTGGCATTTAATAATTCTAGATTTTTCCTCAATTCTCCATCCTTCTTGTGTCCATAATATTCTAGAAAATTCAAGTAGGATATTATTTCAGAAGCCTCTAGAATATGGATAATATTTCGACCAAAATAATGGGCTTATAAAATTTGGGCCATACCCAACAACTCTGCTTATGTGCTTACTTTAAACGCATTTTTTTTCTCTAATAGACAAATCACAAAGTAAAGATGCGCACAGGCTGCTCGACTGTGTCAGGATGGGCCGTGTGGGCCACTAGGCTTACGTTCTGTACTAGCATATCAGGCCTACGATTGGCCAAGATTCATGTCGTTTCAATCTTTCATAATTAGTGCCCATACACAACCCAACCCATGTGTCATGCCGTGCTAGCCACCTAATAATTTATACTAGTATTTTTTTTTTTGGTTGATTAGTTAAATACAAGCGAGTCAAAACGCATGCCGTCACGTCATGCTCGTGCCAAATTTTGAAAATAAAGCCCGTGCACAGCCCATGACTTACCGATGTGTCTCTCGTGTCATATCGGACTTATGACGGGCTTGTGCCAAATCAAACCATTATCATGTCATGCCTAACTAGCTCAACCACAAAGGTTATTATGATAATGATGTTTTTAGATCATTCTTAATGTATATTTTCTAAAGGAAATACACTTTAATAATCCCAATTATTGTCGATTTACTTCAAATAATCCCAACTTAGGTTTATTTTTAATCCTAACTATGTCCTGACTTTGCCTCTAATAGTCCCAAAAACCGGTTACCTGTCGAAAAGGTAAAATTTTATTTAAATTTTTTATACACCACATGTAATGAAATGATTGGCCTAATATAAAAAAAAAAGATAAAATAAATAACAAAAAATAAAAACAGAAACAAATCGTGAAATCAGAGCCAACCTTCCCCCACCGGCCAATTAACCCACAACCAACCGAAAACGGGCCGGCCACCTCCCTAACCCCCCGAAAATGATCGGCCGGCCCTCCCACCGCCCAAAACAATCTTAGGCTATGTTCTTTTAAACTTCTGGGCGAGTAGGCAGAGCAGAGCAAATTTCATTATTATTATTATTATTATTGTTATTATTATTATTATTATTATTACATTATTATTATTATTGTTATTAAATATTAAATATTATTATTAAATATTATTTATTATTATTTTTAAGTAGAACATATTTAACTAGAGCAGAGCAGAGTAGAGTAGAGTACATCAGAGCAGATTTCAGAAGAGCAGAACAGCTCAAAAGAACAGGGCCTCGGCCGATCAACGCCTGCTTTAAACGAGAAATCAATTTGGGGCTGATTTGAGGTGATTTACGAGCTGCTCTGTTTTGGAGGTTGTTACCGGCGGTTTGTGGTTGAATGGCGAGGCAATGGTGGCGGTTTATGGTTTGGTTTGTGTTTGGTGAAAGTTGCAGTGGTCGAGAACTTGTGGTTATTGGTTGCAGTGGCGCGTCTGTGAGTTGTGGTTGTTGTTGTTGTGGACGGTGGTTGGAGGATGTTGAGATTGTGGGTGACGGTGGTAATTGGGTTGGTGGCTAGTGATTGGGATTGTGAGGTAGTTGTTAATTGTGGTGTTAAGTGGAGGGAGTTGGAGCAAACAACGAATAGCTGCTGTTGGTGTTGATTCGTTTGTGTGCTTGGTGACGAGGGTGAGTTAGTGTTTGGATTGGTGAAGGAGATGGGTGATTTGTGATGGCAGAGGTGGTGCTTGGGCTGGTGTTAAGAAGGGGAGTGTTTTGGTTGTGTTGTGGTCAAAAGGTGTAGGAGGTTGTTTTCAAGGGAAGATGGGTGGTTTGGGGACCGGCTAGCTACGGTGGTTTTTGGGGTTGGGAGGGGTCGACCGGCCTTTTCGGGGGTCAGGGGAGACGACCGGCCATTTTCCGACGGGCTGGAGGTTAGCCCTAGCGTTTTGCGGTGGCGTAAGAGGAGGTGATGGTGGCTGTTAGGGTTTTAAGTTTTTTTTATTCTTTTTTTTTTTCTTTTTAATTTTGGACCAATCACGTGCTGACACGTGTACTGGTTACCTGTTACAACAAGTCAACAGTGTTGACCGGTTGGGACTATTGCAGGCAAAGTCAGGGCATAGTTAGGATTATTAAGAAAATAAGCCTTAGTTGGGGTTATTAGAAGTAAATCGGCAATACACTACTAGAAAACAAGCGATTTTTTTACGGAAAAATTCCGTCGGAAACACCCTGTTTTTCGACGAAATTATGTCGTCGTAAACGTGTTTGTAGGAAAATCAACCTTTTCCGACGGAAAAAATTCCGTCGGATGAGATTTTCCGGCCCGAAATAGTCCATCGAAAATTTCCGACGAATTTTTTTCCGCTGGAGATTTCCGACGGAAATTTCGTCGGAAAAAGCTGCAAAAAAAACAAAAAAAAAAAAACCCCATCCGCCACCTATATCACCACCACCACCACCAGCCACCCCCTAACCCGTAACCCCTCCACACCCAAAACCACCACCTTAACCCAAAACCACCACCACCTAAACCCAAAACCCAGATTATCGAAAATAAAACCCCTTACCACCACTACCTTAAACCAAAACCCAGACAATCGAAATTTAAACCCAGAAAATAAAACCCCAAATTAACCACCCCTACCTTAACCCAAAACCCAGACAATCGAACAAAAAACCCATAAAAAAAAAACCATAAAACATAAAAAATAAAACCCTCAAAAATCGAAAATAAAAACCCCAAAATTTGAAAACCATAAAACCCCCAAAAATCAAAAATAAAAACCTCAAAAATTTAAAATAAAACCTAAAAAAACGAGAAAACCACATAAATTCATCAATATAAACCAAGAAAAACGAAAAAAAAAAACAACATTCCTTCCATCATGTACTTTGGGTTTACAAGGTCAAATTCAGATCTAGTATTTTCATGGACGAATTTGACCAAAAAAACCATACTTCATTTTAATTTATGCTCGAATTTCATGGGAAGTGAGGAGAAAAGGAAATGAGAGTTGTGTGCAATGGCGGCCCAATTGAAAGTGGAATTGAGGAGAAAGAAGGGAAGTGAGAAGAACAGAGGAGAAGTGAGGGGAAGCGAGATTTAGAGAAGATGAGAGGACAGAGAAAGAGAATCGTGAGAGAGAAAGAGGGGAAAGGAAGAGGAGAGAGAAAGGGAAATGAAGGGGGGGTGTGGCGGTTTAGGTAATTAGGGTTTCCGGCTTTTTTTAAAATTCCGTCAGAAATTTTAATTTACGACAGAATATTCCGTCGGAAAATACATATATCCCGATGGATTTATATTCAGTCGAAAATTTCCGACGGATTGTTTGAATTCGTCGGAAATATCCGACGGAATTACGCGTCCGTCGGAAATCAGCTGTTTTCTTGTAGTG